CAAAATATAGCATAAATTAGGATTTCTAATTTAGAAATTAGAAAATATCCTTTGGATTTATATATGGGGTGGAATTTAAAATCAGCACAAAATTCTCTAGCTGCACCGCTACAATAAACACTACATTTTTCTTGCATAATAAGAACAAAAGCTTTTTTAAAAAAATTGCCAACTGTCCAAGAATCAGAAACAGCTGGTATGCCATGATATAATGTACCTCTCCTCCCCTGCAATTTCTGTCCTGTTCTGCAAAATGTCAGATGTATTTAAAAGTTTCTAGCTTTCATGGAAACAGTGGAGATCTCAGTAACCCACACTCTTTGTAGCCAATGTAATTTCTTTTAATAGTTTTAATAGCATTGTTTCCATTTACTGCTAAGGAAAAGGACCTGTCATGTATTTGTAAATCATGTATTTATGTTTAATGCATCTGAATATAGTTAGCACAGGCTGTCCCTGTTCCTTGCTAAAACAATAGTTCAGATACAGAGCAAAACATTAATTTAGAATACAGATGAGGAGACAGTGTAATGTATTTGGGAAGAATTTTTATTTTTTACACTGCATGTATTTTATCTATTTTTAGATAAAACAGCCACCTAGAGTCACGTATGTGAGATGAGTGGTTATATAAATGAATGAATAAATAAATACATAAATGGTTGGGCTAAATGAACTCAGCTATTCTATCTTGTAAACCATGATTTATAGCTTAGTGTGTTGTATGGAACCAGTGAATTATGGATTATTCCAACCATGATTGAGCAATATACAACTTAACACAATGTGTGAACCAGCCAGTTTCTTATATTGGTATACAACTGTTCTGCCATTCTACCTCTAGGGCAATGTTTCTCAACCTTGGCAACCAAGATATGTGGACTTCAACTCCCAATTCCCCATGCTGGTGGGGAATTCCCCATGCTGGCGGGGAATTCTGGGAGTTGAAGTCCACACATCTTGAAGTTGCAAGGTTGAGAAACACTGCCCTAGGGCAAGGGTGACAAGACAAGCAAATAGCACCAGTGAGAGAGCAACTGAAATCCAAGAACAAGCACAATTAATCCAACAGAGTAACAGGCTGGTAGTTGCTTTAGCAATTGGTATCCTGGAACTGAATTCCTGGAGCTCTGATATGAGTGCAGAATTTCATTTCTGAATTATTCTTACTCTATTCTATACTGAAGAAGAGCTCCCCACGCTGAATTCCACATTATGGCAGTGGAGGATCTCTGTTCTATTTGAAAGTTTTCAAGGAGTAACTTCTTGTTGTAACCCAAGGAGTTCCAAGTATGGCAATGACACACTGCACATGCACACGCAAAGTAAAACATATACACAGGGTGGGTAGAGGCATTAAACTAAGCCATAATGTGGTTTGTTTGTTTGGGCTTCATATGTTGACTGAATCCAATCACTGTGGTTTGTAAAGTATGGTCCCTGACCTAAGTCCCCGGAGATGCCAATGTACTTAGTTTCATATCCCTTGGTTCCCACCAGTCTTCAAGCCCAACTGATTTTATTTTATTTAGATTATGTTATTGCAAAACCTACTAAATGGGAAGCTAGTATGCTGAAAAGCATCAAGCATCATCCTTAAGTGTCGAGTGATTGCTGCTCAGTGCTTTTCTTTTTTCTTTTTTTGAAGGGTGCTTACCTCCCCAGAAAAGGAAAAAAAAAAAGGTAAATCAAAGTGCTAAACAGTTTGCATTCTGGTAAACGGGTATTTTATGAACAGCTATACCCTCCATAACAACCATGTTGTGAGAGATCCATGACGTTACCAAAATTCCAAATCCCACTAGTCCCCAAAGCCTGGGACTCTTGGGTTGTGGTTTAGCCCAGCCAGTTGGGGTGTGTTCAGTGAATCATGGTTTAGAACAATTGATGAACCCAATCACAGAAAGTCTTTCTAGTTATATCCATTAATCATTATTATGTGTTCATCATTTAACTTTTTTCTAAGTTTGAAGTGTAAGATGTATGGTCATATTATTTGCATTGTGGGTGATTTTAAGATTATATTGGTATATAAAACATATGTAAAATCTGAAACATTGAATCACTATCCTCTCAGGTTTCAAAGCATTTTACGATGAATTTTGAATAAGCTTTTTCAACCAGGTGCTGTCAAAATAATTTAGCACAATTACGATGTAATTATTACATGACAACCATTATACACTTTGGGTAGTATATAAATGATAGATGGAGAAAGAAATTAGGGAAGGGAGGGAGGGAGGGAGGGAGGGAGGAGAATTTGTGGCTATTTTGATGAAGTAGATCCATTATTATAATTAGTAATTTTGCACGGGGGAAAAAAGGTTGGTTCTCTTAATCATTCTGAATGCCAGTTTTTAATAGTTCTATTAAAACAAAATGCATATGCCATTGTGTAGCAGACAATCATCCTTAACAATTACATTATTTATACTTGCTTTAATTCTATATTTGTCAGTAGTACTTTGTCCATTATGTTGATCAATAAAATTCCAGTAACGAATTATAAACATAATATTGTCATATTGAAATTGCTTTTCTATAAACTATAGTGAACAGGCAGAATTACAAAGTTATGTTTTTATCAAAATATACAAAGCCTTCAAACATAACAGAAGCTATTGTTTTCCATATGAATTAAACAATTATAGAAAATATTTGTACAATTATCGCTACATATAAATATTAACCATTATTGGCTTTGGTCTAGAATTATTGAGATAATATTGTTTTAGAAAGTCTCATAATGTGCTTATTTTAAACAGCTCATACTAAGTATAATTTTCTAAGTGATAGTTTTTCATATCCAAAAATGTTTTATGTATACAGTTAGATTTTTTTCAGTGGTTATATTAATTGTGGGAGAACTACTTTCTGTTTAGTCACTTGCAAATGACATCAGACCAGTTAAGAATATGTTATCAGAATTATGAGTATTTATTTTATATAATGTAGAAACATGAGCATAAAAGGCCAAAATTAGATGTAACGAATGAGGTATTCTTTAAAGGATACTTTCCAGATATAAAATGTGGAGTGCAGTTTTCTACTTTTTCAAACTGTTAAAAACTTGGAGATGTTTTACAGAGAAAACTTGATTAAAGGACCACCATTTGGTGGAATTTGGATGCAACAGACACATTTTTGTCCAAACATTTCCCAAAATAGCAGACTAGTCAACTGTATTCAAAGTAATCTGAATGAGACAAATAAATTTACATCAGTTTTGCATCATTTGTGGCAATTTACATAATTGTTCTTGCATTATTATGCAGAATGACACAAACAATGCAATTTGTTCCATTTGCCTAACATCTTTGCATAATATGCAAATTATATAAGTTTGATAATAAGGACACAGAGAATTGGGCACCCCTACCCTCTGGTTGGTACATTAAATTGGGGTTTCACTGTCATTTCCTTTTTCATCGATTCAGTGTTCTCTTTTCTTCAGTCACCAACATGCCTAATAAAACTTTAACTCTTTCAAAATAGTTTTCTTCAAAACTTGGCTTTTTTCTCCATACCAATTTGATATTCATTTGTAACACCTGATCTTTTTTCTTGTTAATCTATGTCAACCATTTAGCTTGACCAACACAAATAAACATATAGTTGATGGATAAAGGCTGGAGGTATTCTTTATTTGACTAATGTTAAGCTCAGATGAAAAATCTCCCCCCCCCCAGCAAAAGAAAAAAAAAGAACCAAAATCCTTTCAGGTATAGCTGATTAATTTTCTGGTTGGTACAAAGCTGTTAATAGAGGATGCAACCCAAAATCTTAATAGTCCATTAGACTAAAAGAGTTACAGCTACAATATAAAAGGATGATCTCCTCTTAGAAACTTTTTATCTCCTCAAGTAAGATTATTCTCTTTTCAATTTCATATGAGTATAAAGCATCCCAAAATTGACATTGATATAGCCTGTTGGGTAGGGAAGTCTTCTCTTTTTAATATAATGCACATAATTCAGACCCTCTTTAAATATAGCTAGCAATTTGAGCAGTGAAGATGGTAACAAGAGCTTCCATAGAAAAAGCTTACAGAAGAACCACCTTATGCAGAATAATCAAAGTTTCTATGAAGGCCTGAGCCATTTCTAGCTAATGATGCATTTTTACAACAGTCCTAATTTTTACACTACAGTAATCAGTATATTATTATTATTATTATTATTATTATTATGAGAGAGAAGGTGCCCACTGCATAGTGTGCCCACTAAATAAACAGAAAGAAAATATAAAATAATATTGAAAACCCACTTATTAAATTATTCAGGTAGACAGTTCTATAAATCCTGGAGGTTAGGAATAGAGCATCTAAATTCTGTGGTACATCACACAAACTAGCTGGATGACTATTTGTGTAAAACACTATGGAAATCAGCCTGGAGTACAAATCCAAATATGAAAGTATTGGCCTTTGATTAAATCAAGGTCCTCACAATCATGAGTGCAGCAGTATACCTAAAATAGGATAAGCACGAACTTATTTTAGGATAAGAGTGCAGTTCCTCTTCTCTTCCTTTTCTGAGCCTTGAACACATACTTAGAGGCAATCACACTCTGGAATGTCAGCTGTAACTTTCAGGAAGATTCCATGGAGAAATTCCATAATATATCCAGCCACCCTTTTCCTGTATCAGATCCTTGCAAGTTATTTCTTCTCAGAGGACAAGTCACCTCTGGACCAAGTCACTGAGGAGAAATGACTGTATATAGCAGACATGCATGGGCATTGAGTTGATGGTCTGGATGCTCTGATGCTTGTAGAGCCACAGACTGATGGTGGGTGGAAGGAAGGAAGGGGAGAAAAGGCTCTTCAGCAAGGTACAGATCTTATTCCATGAGGGAATCATGTATGTTGCTATAAATATTTAAACTTCACTTGTTTATCAGTCTGCAAATCAGATGGCACTAATATATAAGGAGCTCATGACACATGTAGTACATGTTAAGAATATAAATATTTATTATTATAATAATCATAACCTCTCACAAAATTGTTCTGTAACAGCATATTCAGACTTCGGAATGGGTGAATGTACTATTCAAATAACAAATCTTAAAATCTTAACCAGATGCTTATTGTGTACACATTAGACTAGGGCTAAATTAAACTTTTAAAATAGTGTTGACCTTTGAACACATTATAAGTACATTCCAGTTAGGAATACAGGGTGTAATTTCTTCTAGCAGAAACGCTTTAACCTTACTATATTCTGAATTGATATCTCTCATTGTTTAGTTGTCCAAAATGGTTCATATTCTTAACAAGGTAGGCATATTCCAGTTCAACAGTGAATTCTGTATAATATCCTTTTAAACATTTCAATTAAGCATATTCTTTTTTATGTAAACTTTCTTCTGAGGGACATTAATATCTCCTTATACTTTTTTTAGGCTTCATTAACTTCAGTATAGTTCCCAAGTTTTGCTTTTTATGGCACATTTTAAAATGTAAAGTATGCAATATATTTATATGAAAAAAATATATATCTCAAGTTTTAAGAACTTCCATAAGTTTGGATTTTTTTTTTTTTTTGCATTAATTACTTGCGTGTATGGCCTTTCATCTTTCTATTTTCTTTGTGGCTGCACCCTTTTCTAACTCAGAGTCCAGCATCCAATGTGGTATTCGAAATACTACTTGCTTTGCAACCCTCTGCATCAATTATACTTTTAGTTAGCACAGGTTTAGCTGTTTCCTGCTGCTCTGAATCAAAGCAATGTTGACTTATACATGATTTAGAACTTTCATTAAACAAATAGTCTTTTCTATCCTCTTGCTTGGGTGTTTTGAATAAATGTTTCTTCTGGTGCATCCCAAGAGCAGCTGCGGTCTTACAAACCTTGGGACACTGAAAACATGCGTAGCCTTTTCCAGTGTGCTCACGCTTATGCCTTTGCTCATGATTCCTTTTGGTGGAAAGATATAAGAAGCTCTGAAAGCAAAACTGACAATGGTAGCGCTTTTCTCCTGTATGGATCCTCTCGTGTATTTTGAGTGTTTCGTTGAGAGTGAATGCCTTGTTGCAATGTTGACAGATGAAATCCTTGACACCAGAATGGGTGCGTTCATGCTTCTGTAAATTGCTAGAGATTGAAAAACTTTTCCCACAGGTTTTGCAAAGGTAGGGTTTCTCTCCTGTATGACCCCGCTTATGCATCCTTAGAGTAGAAGGGCTCTGGAAATGCTTTTGGCATAAGTCACAAGTGTAAGACTGAGACCCTGTGGTCTCCCAGTGTAAGTGATCATGGGGTGCTTCCGTAGAAGTATTCTCCCTTTCACAGAGCTCACAGTAAAGATCTGTCATCTTCCCATCTCCTTCTTGATTACAGACCTTTTCTTCAGGAATATTCCGAAGAGCATAAGTGGTGACATAGGTCTTCTCACTTTCTTCACAGGAATTTCTGCTCCTGTATTTCTCTCTCCATTTTGCTTTTCTCATTTTCCTTAGTTGTTTAGATTTCTTTTTTGGTTTGTAATTGTAATATGGTCGCCAAGGTTTATCATTGGAGTCATGGTCACTGATATCGTCACCCATTTCACTTTCAATGTAGTCTGATCGACAAACTCGAGACATACTTCTCTCTCTTTTTTCCCGTTCTGCAACTTGAACTGTCTCATCTCCTTTGGATTCATATTTAGATGTTCTGCCTTTTTTGTAAAACAATTTGGACCCCAAAATATGTCTTTTCACAATAGCTTCATTTCCAATTTTAACTGTTATTTGACAAAGTGGAGCAACATTGCTGTCAGCAGAGGTTCCTGGCAGTGCAGGTTTTGCGATATAAGTTTCAGTCTTACTTGAAGTTTCAAAGATATTTGTAGGTGTGTTAGAAGTTATCCCTGTATTTGCTGTATATTTTACTTCCTTTGATGTTGCTTCTCTGTCATACAGGGGTACCTTTTTCTTTTCTTTATTGCTTCTTGTTTTAGTATTGCTATTGTCTGACTCATGTATAAGATCATTGCTTGCTACTTGGCTGATTGTAATATCTGAAGTTCCCTTATCATTTCTTCCTACTGCATTGACAGCATTACTGTGCATGATCACAGATGAAACTCTTCCACTATGCATTATAACAGAAGATGCTGAATTGTTATAGCTAATAACAGAGGTTGAATTCTCACGGGAATTAACATTACTAATTGTTTGAAGAGAGGAATCATATTCCTGAGGACCAGAATCCTCAACAGAAGATAATGGCCTTCTGTTAGTATTAGTATTATTTTTAAGGTCTGTCCCTGATGCAATTTTCCAGGAAGAAATATTTGGAGGGTTTTCAGGTGTTCCTGTAGCATCACGACATGAAGAACTTTCCAAGGAAATACTGGAGCTTGGCAACATATTGTGTGAAAAATTCAAGGATGACCGTTCAGAAGTGACAGTATTCTGAATAATACAGGTGCTAGATGGGACTTCATTAACTTGTATACTTTCATACGATGAGTTTCCATAACTTTTATATGGTGCCCTTTTACATTTCATAGGCAAAAGCCTATAAAGCTTGTAAGGATATACATTTGGTTTCAAGCCGCCATTAGCTGTTTTCTTGTTTACACCAAGTCGGTGATCAATTGCATGGAAAGATTTCTGGTGGTTTTTGAGTATATAGTATGTCATAAAGGTCTCAAGACAGAAAATACATTGGTATCGTCTTTCGCCTGTGTGCCATATTTCATGTCTGGTGCGGTACTCTGCTAATGCAAAGACTTTGTTGCAGTAATGGCAAGGATAAGTTCTTCTCCAAGAATGAACATTTGAATGTCTTCGGAGGCTAGACAAGGTAACATAGGTACGTTTACAAACATTGCAAGTATAAAGTATCTGTCCATCAACAACTTTAACAAAGTGGTCCATTTCTGGCATTGTACCATTTGTGCCAGGATAATCAGTAAGCTCATTTTCAGCCTCTGTGGGCTCTGGGCTTACATATGAGGTGCCAGTTTTTCCATTTGAAGGAGCAAAATTATCCAGACTATTCTGCTCATTTTCATTTTGACCACACAAATTGTTCAGACCCTTACATGCTTGTTCATGGGTCTCTAGTCCAGTAATATTTTCAAATTGTTTGCTGCAGTATTTGCAAACTAAAGTTTCTTGAGATTGTGAATGAAGTTTAAGATGAGTGCTAAACTGAGTTTTATCATTAAATGATTTAGTACAACCATTGCAGTTAGAAGGATGTGGAATGGCTGTGACTATTGATCCAGAAAGATTATCAGATTTATTTTCATCTTCCTTAGAAGAGAGAATATTGGCTGTGTTTGGCTGGGATTTCTGAAAAGAATGGCTGTGATCATTTATGACTTTATGGGGACCCTCTGAAGTGGTTCCCTTGTGGGCTGATATTTTTACAATAGGAGCATCTGTGATCTGGGAGTTAAATATAGCCTTTGATGCATTATATGACTGTGTTACTGATTTAACTAGAGGCACTGACTGGGCAGCTTCAGAACAATCTTCACCTGTTTTATAAAGTGGAGTGCTTTCATAATAAAAGGAATTTTGTTGCAAAGCATCACAACCTGTTGTAACAGCATAGGAATGTTCAAGTGGTTCCCTTGTGGGCTGATATTTTTACAATAGGAGCATCTGTGATCTGGGAGTTAAATATAGCCTTTGATGCATTATATGACTGTGTTACTGATTTAACTAGAGGCACTGACTGGGCAGCTTCAGAACAATCTTCACCTGTTTTATAAAGTGGAGTGCTTTCATAATAAAAGGAATTTTGTTGCAAAGCATCACAACCTGTTGTAACAGCATAGGAATGTTCAGCTAATGTACTGGCTCTCTCAACCTCTTTGCACACATCAGTTCTGTCCAGATCACTACTGGATGCTTTATTTGTTTCAGGTATTTTTTTAAAACTCGCCCTCAGGTCAAGAGGAGAAAACAAATGATTACTATTCTCAGTTTCAAAAATTGAGTATGCATTAGTGATTCTTGGTCCATTTGTAATGGCTGAGTCTTCCTGTCTTTTTTCTTCTTTAACATCATTTTTTTCAGTATTGCAAAATGAATACAGACAAGGGGAACCTGAGAAGCTCTTTTCTGTAAGATCTTCTAAAAAAGATATTCCCAATTTTTTTCCAGCAGCTGCAAGATCCACAACAGACTCTTGTTTTTTAACAATTACTGTAGAACTGTAGATGTAATTAAGTATTTCTGTGAACACTTCAGCCTTCAGGCCATCTAGTTCCAACACATGTCCAGAAATACAGATTGTATGACTCCAAAATATATTTTTGAAATAAAGGCTTGAAGCAGCCAGGACATTACTATGGGCTTTGAATTTGGTGTCTTCTACAATGATTGTGACATCACATAAAATGCCCCGAATGCGTTGTTCATTTAAGATGGAAAGGACTGTGTCACTGTGGAAGTTATCTTTGAGATCCTTTAAGTGGGACATGATGGTCATCTGTTTAAATAAAGAAGAGATTTAAAAATTAACAGGATCAAATACCAAGTTACTTCTTGTCCAGTAAAACTCAACAGTTAGTTAGTTAGTTAGTTAATTTTTTTATTTTTTTTATTTATTTATGCCATTCCCTGTCACAAACTAATGACTCTTGGCCACTTACAGAGTATATAACAAAAATTAAAACATCTGCAGTAAATTAAAACAAATAATGAGATCATAAAATCTCCAATGAAAAAACAATGAAAAAGAATAAAAAAGAAAAGGTGGCACAAATATTAAGTTAAGAGGATACCTCCAGAATAATTCTGTTTTCAGGAGTTTCTTAAAAGTCAGCAGGGAATGGTGAGTCTGATCTCCAATGGAGACTATTCCAGAGCAGTGGCACTGTTAGTAGCTGACCAACAGAATTCAGAAATCAACAGTCAGTCAGTGCCAGCCCCTTTTGCCAAAGAAGCTCTTGGAGTAACAGAAAAAAAGAAAAAAAATCACAGAAAGGCAACCACCACCACCATTAAAATGTTAGCCCTCTCTCCCCATGATTTCAATGTGTGTTCTGTGCATTCATCTGACTATTTTGCCACAAAACAAAATCTGAATTGTTGATATGGGAGAAGAGCTGCCTGGTCATCAATGAACTGTTAGCCTTGCATATAAATCATTGCTAAAAGCTGTGATTATGGCATGATGACATAGTTTTGCGTTGCCCAAGAGCTACAACCCTCTAGGTATGTGGTAGTGCGAGGAGACAGTATAATGATTTGCTTAAGCTCACAGACCAGGAGGCAAAATAAAGCAAGAGTTTGATACACGCTGCTTAAATAGGCAGGCAAATAACATGGGCAGGCTTTATAGGACTGTGAATTAAAACAATGGCATACATTTGGTGAAGGTAGGACAGGTAGACTCCCTCTCACATCCTGTACCTTGTGCCATAGCTTCAACATAGCCATGATAGCACATACATATCTATGCAGCAACATTTGGACAACCACTATCTGCAGAAGGAAATACAGAAAAGCTTACTCTTTGCTACCATCTAGAGGTAACTGTAGATTTACAGGCCAGATCTTGTATGCCTAAATAGGAGCTTTTTGGGTGGGTAAGTGGAGGAGGCTGAACAAAGAGAGGTTGAGCAGAAGGGGAAAGGGACATTTGAGGCGACTGAGATGAGGGGAGATCCTCATATTTATTTATTTAATACATTTATATGGCCACCCATCTCATATACGTGACTCCTATGTTACTCACGTCCACTACTGCTGCTTCAGAACACATAAGGATATGCACTGAAGAACATATCTGAAACTTCTTAAAGCAACTGCAACTCTTTACAGAGGTCTGCAGCTGCCTCCTGCAATTATAGCACAAACCCCAGTAAAGATACATACATTTATTTATTTATTTTACAGGCCTTACAGGCTGCTTCAATTAGAATTTACCCCAGTGGCATACAATTCCCCCTCTATAAATCCAGATAAAAATAAAAGTTAACATACAGCCATCCAGCATAATCAATAGAATCATCTACAGTATATAAGACCCAGGAATGAAACACAATCGGCAAAATAGAATTACAGGTAGTCCTCGTTTAGCAACTGTCTTATTTAGTGACTGTTTGCAGTTATGACAGTGATGAAAAAGTAACTTTATGACCAATCTTCACATTTATGACCTTCACAGGTCTGTAAAGCAAAGGAAAGCTGAAGTAAGATCATAAGTACAGTTGCGGTTTCACTTAGTGACTGCTTCACTTAACAATCGAGTTGCCGGTCCTAGTTGTGGTGTCTAAACAAGGACTATCTGTAATAACTTCCAATTGCTCATGGAAAAAACAAATCCCAAGTTTTAACAAACTTCCTAAATGCCGAAAGAGAAGGGGCCATTTGAATGTCTGGGGAAAAGCTGTTCCCCAGGAGGGGGCAGCAATAATTTTCATATTATAGCTGACTTATATATAGTTTATATAACTAAAAAAATGCCTAAAAAAACACAGAGAGCAGAAAAGTAATGAAGTATGTGTTAGGAAGGGAGGAGCAAGAAGCTGAAATTCTTTTCCTGTAAGCAAGCTATGACTGAGTACAGGTTGAATTGCTGATCTGAAGCATGCTGTCCCTGTTCTCCCTGTGGTGTTTCCTCTATCACTGAAGTCCTATGACTGATTGATTATGTGCCATAAAGTTGTTTTTGACTCCTAGCAACCACATAGAAAGATAGATTTACAGGCAGAAGTCCTATACTATTTGAAAGTCTGCAGACACATGCCACTCCATTAACTACCAATAGAAGAGAATATGTGTAGCTCAGGGTTGAACTGTGGAGTCCTTGGGGGTTCTCTGAGCTT